TTCTTTTAAATACATCAATTATTATTTATGATACACAAATTAATTTTGTAATTTAATTCTTAAGCGCGAAAAAGAAAAAAATAGAAATTGATTAATAATTAGGAGTAGGATTAAATTGTGTTTATTAATTTTTAATTAAACTTTCTTATATCATTATTTCCCGTTGAGTTTATAAAAATAGCTTACGAATGTATCGCGGTGGTTGCGTGGTAAAATGATACAAGTGGTTAAATGAAACAAAGGACGTTTCACGAGGAAACCTTTGAAACTGACAATGAGTAGCAGCTAGTGGTACTCACTAAGGACAAAACGATTTACGGACTTTGGTCTTCCTTAGGTCCGGAAAGTAACGTCGTGACCGTAAAGTTTATGACGTTCTTTGGATACGTATCGTCGACTTGTCTACCATTATACGGCATCGCGTGAGAAAGAGAGAGAAAAGATGAAGGATCGGAGAAGAACAAAAAGGGAATACACGAAAGTGAATGAAGTTTGTTTTATCGAGCATGAGAGAGAGAGAGAGAGAGAGAGAGAGAGAGTGTGAGAAGAGAGAAGACTAAAATCGTGCGAAACTTTGACGTCGTTACGTCCTTGGAATAAAAGGTTAAGGGGTCACCCTTTGAGGTAGTAAACTTTTTATCGAGCCTTGAAAATAAATGTCAAATTATTTTATCGACTATTTCAAAATTTTATTATCTTCGCGATTTTTAATATTATAGATATATAAGTTCATGTTGTTTAAATCAATGCAAATAATTGATAAACAATTATAGAAACGATATCAAATTTGTTTCGTTTCTTGTAATATGCGCGCAAAGTAAATTTTATGATACATATATAATATATTTTATTTCTATATTGTTTTAAGTATTACGATCCAATTGACAGAGAAAAACGTAATAGAACAGAAAATGGTAAAATGAAATTAAAAAAAATATAACATGCGTACGCGAATGGAGAGAGGAAAAAAAAATGATGGGAAAAAGAAATTTCTATCTAACTTAAAGTTTCTTCTAGCGTGGAAAAGACGCGACAGGTGGTAGGTAGTCGATCGAATAGAAAGTACACGTTACTTTCCACTTATCGTTTTACATCGTTCACGACGTATTACTACTACCACTACCACCACCACTACCACTACCATTACCAATACCATCACAGTAGCAGCAGCAGCAGCAGCAGCAGGAACAGGAACAGGAGCAGGAGCAGGAGCAGCAGCAGGAGTAACAGTAGTAGTACCATCATCACTAGCATCGGTACTTTCACCAATATCACAACCCACGACGTTTCGACGTGCTCTCGAAGCTTTCAAGAGCAAATCGAGTTTCCTGTCCCTTTGGGACCATGGTTACCACCGGTACTACTACTATCGGCACAACCTCGACAAGTAGTATCGACGATGTAATTAGAAATCCAACGATAAACGGTGAAATCGTTTCCGAACCGTACTTGGTTAATACCTAGCTAGCTACCTAGCTAGCTAGCTACCTTCCTAGTTACCTAGCTAGCTAGTAATACCACCAATAGTAGTATTAGTTCTAAGTTCGAACGTCAAACCATCCAAGTGTTAGTACTTGTTAGCAAAAGATGCAGAAGGTATCTTATTTAATGTAATGCCCAACAACGTTACCAGTACTTACATTCCACTTTATATCCCTTAACTCTCACACCGTCTAACAACTGGGGAACTTCTCATTAAACACTAACCCGAAGAAAATCGGTCCGTTTATACGAAAAAGCTCGATCTTCGTATATACGCTCAAGGGTAAACGTTTTTCTCTTGAACCTTTTCTTTTCTTTTCTTTTCCTTTCCTTTCCTTTTCTTATTCTTTTACTTCTAAGTATTTTTTCCTCCTCTTTCTCTTTCTCTTTCTCTTTCTCTTTCTCATTTACTTTCCATCCGACTAATTTCGAGTCGAGTCACCATTGCGAAATCGTCTTTACTTAATCGACTTTCATCGAGCAATCACTGTACTCATTACTACCTCTCCCCCCACCCCGTTCCCTTCCCTTCCCTTCCATTTCTCTATCTTCCTCTTTACTCTCTATGCTTTTGATATTATTGTCGTCTTTCTTTTTCCACTTTTTCATTAATTCTTTCTTTTTAGCCTCAAGAATGGGGCGAGTTTTCTTTTCTTAAAAGAATATTCATACTTCCGATCGATCGATCGATCGATCGATCGATTCTTCCTCGCTTTGGAAAAAACGCTATTTGCTTTTTAACGGTTTTTCCCTATCCCTCTCTTTCTTTCTTTTTTTCTTTTATTTTTCGATTGTTAAGTTCTTAGTTAGTAAAGGAAATTGCTTTCGATCCTCGCGTTTTATTTTGAAAGTTTGAGAAAAATTTGTCCGAGATATTACGTTTGGAATTTTCTTTAATCCCATGTCATTTTGAAAACATTCACGTTAGAAAATTTGGCGTTATGAGGTAGGGAAAAAAATGAATTGGATAGGTATCTATGGCAATTAATGCTATGCAAAACTATACTACCGGAACGTAGTTACTTGATCGCGAATATTCACTGAGAATCCGATTAAAATCAGGGATCGGGGAATTGGATCGTGTTTGTTGGATTAACGAGCGCCAGTTTGCATGTGAATCGACGAATATTTCGTCGTTGATTTACGAACTCCTTCATCCTCGTTCTTGTTCTCCTCTTCGTCATCGTTTTAGTTGTCGTAATCGTATCGGGAAATGCTTTGAAGTAGGCAAGGTCAGAGAATTTAGTCTCATCTCGTCTCATCTCATCTCATCTCATCTCTCTTACTCTTTCTCTTTATCTCTCTCTCTCTCCCTCTCTCCCTCTCTTGTAATAATACCAGCTTCAACTTGTCGAATTTGCATGAAAATCTTGGAAGAGAAGAGGGCTGCTGTTGCTGGATCGAGCGTTGAACGACGATGAAAGGGAGTCAAAGGGTTAAGAAGTTTTTGAGCTAGTAATGAGACTTTGAGACCACAGGATTACCTAACTTTTAGAGATAATAACTTTTTCTTTCTCTATCTACTTGTATTCTCTTATTTAAAATATATTAACCATTTATACGATTAGATAATAATTTGAACGTTTAAATTGACGTTGACGTTAGGTAATAATAAAAAGTGAAATTTGTCGATTCGAAAATGTCTTCACGTCTTTCTTGTTTTATTGATAAAATTACCTTTGGCAAATATAAATTTCATTTTCTCTCTCTCTCTCTCTCCCTCTTTGCTTCGTGCACGTTTGATATTTCTTCGATTTTCGATTTTAGCTGAAGGAATCGTTAGAATTGGAGGTTCCTTGGATCGCACCAGTTACGATGTCGTTTATTCGTTGGTATGTTCGTTCGTACTTACCTTATATTCTAGTATATGTACATAGAAACGTAGAAGTTGTTATAGGTACGTGTATTGGTAGGATGCTCGTTCACTCGCTTTGCTGACCTATGAATGTCTACAAAATTATGGCTACAAATCACGTATAGTGTTCGTGCAACCGGCATCCACCAGTTGACGTGACGCGATTCCCTATGAGAGGAGCTGGTGTAATTGCGCTACGTGCCCTTATGTGCATCGTTGCGGGCATGAACTTACTCGCGGAAACCGGCACTACCATCTACAGACATTTCCAACCCGGTAAAATGAATGAGCAAACTGGAAGAGAGAAAGAGAGGGAGAGAGAGAGAGAAATACGGCATTGCCAATATGCATCTACGCTTTCTTGTCAGGGTTGTTGTTGGACCGTAAACAAGATAATCGCGAGAAATGCAGCATATTCTAGCACTCATATTACGTACTATTCGACTACCACAATTGTAATTATTCTACTTTACCATTATCGTTCAGTGTTACGTGTTTTAGAAAATGAAAGTTACATTTCTAATTTTAAAGAAATCTTAAAACGCATTTCTTTTGTTAATTATTATATTTTACTTATTAACTAAAGACTGAAATTTGAATTTTTACTTGAAACTTTCTTCGTTTAATTCATTCCGTTCATAATCAAATGTGAGTGTTTCAACGCACGTGTATCAAAAATAAAATGAAAAGATAAGTAAAATCCTAATTAAACTTTTTTTTATCTGGTAACCTTAAATATAATAATGATAAAAATTCAATATAATGTGGATAAATTTAAAAAATACATTTATTTATTTGCAAATAAATTTTGTTAAATTTTAAGGTTTTTCGAATTTTTTGTTCTGTGGTTAATGATTGAGTTATAGTGTTGCATATGATAGAGGGATAGGGATATTAGGAACGTTTATTGATTATGCAATGGGGATTTATATGACCTCCCTTTTAATCCTACGACAGGTAATTCCATAAAGCAAAATGCAGTATGCACCAGAGTCGGTCATTATAAGCGCGAATGGGTACTTGTCCTTTAACTAAGCGGATGCACGTGGATTGACATTCGAGACATCGACAGTCGAGTTGACGAGATCGAGTAGAATGCGGTTGTTCCTCGTCCATCATCCAACGTGGTTACCTGTCCGCGTAGTTAACGTTAAGTGATCCATCTATTTTGTAATAAGAAAAAACCAAAAAAAAAAAATTCATTCTCCTAGTCGTTTGATTTTACTCATAAACGTCCAATCGAAGATTGCGCTATTCAGTTTCATACGATTTACCTCATGATTTCTTTCGATTGAAATTAATCGTTCTCATATTTTATTTTATATATTATTTTCGTATAAATTAAAAATTGAATTCTTTTAGTATATATATCAGCAAGATTTTTAATTATTTTTTTTTCGCGTCTCACGCAGCGTCGTGTTTCACACTTGTATTTATTTTCGCTAACTATTTTATTGCTCTTTATATTTCTATATATATATATATATTTTTGTATCTAGCAAAAATAGGTGCTCATACATATTGCTTATCGTAGTTTACTATAACAAAAATATGACACATCGTAATGAAAAAAAAACAACATAAAAATATATATATATATATATGTATATTATCATCGTAGATTCGCGGTATCAGCCATGAAGTAGATAAATAAATAAATTTGTTAGACGAGTTATATAAAATATTGATCGTATGAATAAGAAATAAATTCAACATGAAATTTCGTAGAGTACATTAGAATTGCGAATGTTTGGTAATGTGTTCGAAAGAATAAAAAAAATAATGAGATAAGATAATAAGAAATAGATCGATTTAGGTAAAGAAGAAACCTAATTCTTTTTCGTTTTGGGGGTTTCGTGTTTCATAGTATAATAAGTACTCGACATAACCATCGATTTTCGACACGACGTTTGTACATCGATATATTTCGCATCTCCCTTTGGTCCTTTTCCCTTTTCCCTTTGTTTATCTTCCCTTTTCTTCTCTTCTTTTCTCTTCTCTTTACGTTCGCTCCATTACGGCCAATTGCCCATGAACGTCCCCCTTCAAAGTGAGCATCGAGGCGAGTATATTTATTCAAACCGCAATGCACTAGTCTCTATCCTTTTTATCGCCTATCGTAAAGCTTACTTTCTTGTGTGTGACGTATATTTTTCTAAAGAATTGACACACAAGATATAGATATCGATCGGGCAAATTGTTTCCATAGATTTTTTTACCGAAACCGATTTTATGAGTGTGTACGAAATTATACATGTGTGCATTAATACGTTACGTAAGATATAGAGAACAATTTATGTATAATTGCGTATCAGATAGTAAAATAGAGACAAATAAAGAAATTGAGATTAGTATCTTTGTATGAGAATGTTTGTATGCGTGATAAAGTGTCGATGTGTTAGAGAGACAAAGATAATATTTGTGTGAGAGAGTAATATGTGTGTATGGAAGAAAGAGAGTGAGAGAAAAGAAAAGATAGTATGGGTAAGTGTGAATGAGAATATTGAGTGATAATGTATGTGTGTGACACAGAAAGAGAGAAAGAGAGAGAGAGAGAGAGAGAGTAAATATATGAGATAGTTTTCCACATCTATTGAGGTTGTTTGGATATTGTACGAGAAATGTTCGCCATTTGTGTTATGCATATTCAGTCGAATAATAATGCATCGCGTAAATATGCATATTTAATCGTCATTTGTTCGTATCTGTATACTTAAATACGTATTAACGACTCCCAACAGAGAGTGAAATTCGGACAAGTATCGACACATTATTTCAGAGGTTGGTCGCATCATCCAATATAGAATCCAATCACTATTATCATTTCTCTACTACCGATCAACATTTTGCGTTGCATGATATTACCGTTAATGTTATCTTCAAACGTTCATAATCAACGATATGAGCTCATATCTTTTCTTTCTACGTTTTGATATGCATCGACTATACGCGGTTAAATCATTAAATATGTATTTATATGTATACTATAGATCGAAAGTTTGAAATTGTTACGTAATATTCACGTGTCAATGTTTTACATTTTCTATTATGGCAACTAGTTTTTCGAGTGTTTTTAATTGAGTATTTCGATATTCTTCTATGCTTCTTTTTTAGACGTTGTCAAAGATGTCACAGTTGAAAAATTTATTAGGAATGTTGCTTTAAATTAGGTGTATAAATTATATAAGAAAATTATTATATATACATGTGATAAGATACTGAAATCTTTTCAAAATGTAATTGAATTTGTTAATATTTGATGTATATCGATGATAAATTATTTCAAAATTGATCGGTGTATTCGATTATTGAAATCAGCAAATGATCTTAATATATTTTAAATTTCACAAAAATCCATTTTCTACGGCATGAACAATTACATCCGCTAAACGTAATCTTTTTGTCTGTGTATCCAAACAATCGATATTACATACATCATCTATATTCAATGGTTCGTCATCTTTTACTAACGTATTCAAGTCAAGTGCTTGCGACTCAGGTAACATAGCAAACGGTAATGCTTCTAATGCACAAACAATTCCAAAGAAAAAGTGTTCTTTTACCTGAAATCAACAAAATTATATATATATTATATAATTAAATATTTATTATATAATTCTACACAAAAATGTGTGATGTTATTAGTTAATCGGTAATAACACATACCTCTTTCATAAACGTTTCCCAGGAATATAATTTGTTAGCATCTGAGCCAAGTAAATTAATGACATTACTTAATTTGTCGTAATAAATTTTCAACATATCGTCGAATCGTTCTCTAAGAGTTTTGTTCGTACAAGAATAAATAAAGAATGCTAGGTCAAGAATTGGGCTTACACAACGTGCCAATTGAAAATCAAGTAATAAAGCTTGCTTTTTATTTCCTTCAATGTTGCGTACTAAAATATTTGGGGCCCAAGAGTCTCCTTGACTTACAACTGATGTTGGAGCATCTATACGATCGCATATTTTGCAACACATTTCCACGAGTGAACCAAATTTGTAAGAATTCAAACGCTTTAACGCTTCGCTGTTTGGATATTCGGTAACTAATGCATACGTTGCTATTTTCAACAATTGTTTCTACAAAAATGTATAGATCAGAGAATCTATATACAAATAAAATATAAATACAATTTGTTGTTGATCAAATATAAATAATTAATTTGACTTACGTGAAATTCTTTATACCAATTCCAATATTTAGGACTAAAATATGTCTCTCTTAAATGCGATACACACTCGTTAAATTCATCTTTATTTTGATCTTTGTATGCAAACGAAATTGCATGGAAAGTAGCAAATGCTTCTAAAATAATAGTACATTGTTCCATATCTACACAATCTTGACGAGTTACAGGACCGTATCCTAAATTGCAAACGTTTTCTAAAATTAAATAATCATTTTCACCATCTGCTAATGATTTTAAATGACGTGGAATACTTAGAATATGAGCTTGATTTTTGCTTTTAAGAAACTCATTAAATTTTGGTATAACCTGGAAAAGTATATTTCAAATGAAAAAATTGTTATGAAATAGTTCAAAATAATAGATACTTGTCAGAGGAAATATTAAATGCAATTACTTTAGTATAAAATGCTATCTCATTTTGAAAGAAATCTGTACATCGATACATTTTTCTTCTACTTAAATTTTGAGGTAATGATTTTATCACAATATCAGTTTGTACAGGTTTGCCATTATCAATGCCATTCACCTTGACTTTGTTAACAATTGCTATATAACCATCACCTTTAGCACTTGCATCACTAAACTCCCAATCAATTACTTTAACATCTCTTGCATTATGTTCTGCAACAAGTATACTTTCTAATATTTCTTTAGTAAGTTTAGCACTTATTGTACTTAGCTCAACTTGGTTTCTGTTTTCACTCATTATTGAATTTTTTTATTTATCTTTTTTATTTGAAGGGTTTATCAATATCTTCGTCGGTATATTTTGCTTACAATAACTTTTTGAGTTGAAGCATAATAAATATACGTATAAAATGAAATTACTTTAAATCACTTACAAACTGTAGGAAGATCAAATTTTAAGAGAAGATACGTGATACTACGAAAGAAATAACTTCTATACTGAATAGGAGAAATAAGTCTACGTTTAACTAATGAACTAGATTCCCCTTCTTCAATCAACAATGTGTTCATGTGCAGCTAGCTTTCTGATTGGTCTCAATATTAATCAGAACGACGATAACGGTATCGTAGATAACATTTTGTTTCTTTTTTGCAGATTCTTCTCTATTAACTTTATACGAAAAAAAAAACAGATTATATTTATTGTCAATTTTACATCTAAGACAAGTATTTGTCTTGTAAATAAATAGAAATTGTACATAGATTATAATCATATATAATAATTCATATATATTAAAATATTTATTATTATATAATATTTATTTATGTATCAATATAAATATCTCATAATTATCAGTAATATTGATTTTAGGCGATCTAGGGTAATTCATTGAGAGAGAGGTGCTAGTTTTTAATTATTTATTACATCATTTAAGCTATTTTTATTTTTTTTTATATACTACGCTTCTTATCAACAATGATAAGACATTCTTATCTGTGATATTTTACTCTTCTTTCTACGAGTCCGAGTCGTTTCTCTATTAACACCTTATCATAATTATTCAATACTACCATAGGTGTTTTTTTACCATCTCTCGGAGTTGACAACATATCTTTATGTATATATATAATAAAAATTTATATCAAATAACAATTTTTAATATTCCTATAACATATATATATAATAAAAATTTATATCAAATAACAATTTTTAATATTCCTATAACATATGTATATATATATATATATATAATATGTTACTATTTGTATATAAGAATTAAAAAATATTTAGATTAACAAGGAGAGATATATCAATTGTCTAAAATTTATAATAACGATACGAAAACTCTAGTGACTCGTTGTGTTGTATTTCATATACATAGTATAGTAGTACGTAGATATTTACAATTAGTCACTCTGGTGAATTTGAAATCGGGTACTAGGAGGAAAAGCAGAGGAGAACAAATGACTCCGGGCAATATGGCGAAGCATGAATCAGAAACGTTACTATCTTCGATAACTCACCCATTTCCTCCCCTCTTTCTCTCACTCTTTTATTCACGCTACACGCACTTTAGCATAGTGCTTGTTTTTTTTTCTTTCTTTCTTTCTTTCTTTTTTTCATTCTTTTTCTATCCCTTTCTTCCTTTTTGATCTGTCAAGGTTCATCGTGTATCGGCAAAAGCTTTACCCAGCCCAGGAAAGGCTTATTTTGATGAATAAACGTCGTGAGAGGAGGAGGCGAGGAAGAGAGGAGACAGTATCTGATTTACTGGACCATAAATATCTCTAATCTGTACGAGACACGGGGCTACACCTCTCTCTCTCTCACTCTCTCTCTCACTCACTCACTTTTGCGCGTCCGTAGCTTCAAACGTTTTGTCTCTCTCTCTTCCTCTCTTTCTCTGAAACTCTCTTTACTGGCCTGGTTTTCCTTCCGCTTTCCATCCTTCATCCATTTACCGGCTAAAAAAGAGCACTGAATAACGAGTCAGCGAGCAGCCGCATCCAGAAATTCCTAGATTTCCTCTCTCTTTCTTTCTTTCTCTGTTTTTCTCTCTCTCTCTCTCTCTTTCTTTCTTTCTTTCCATCCTTATTTCTGTCCCTGCGTAGTTTTTTCTTTAACCCTTCTTACGCAAGTACCATATTTATTTCATAACAAATAAATTGTTTCATCTTAAACGCGAAACGAGAAAAATATTCTAATTATTAATATTTTTTCATTATTTTTTTCCTTTTTTTTTTTTTTTTTTTGTCATAATAAATATATTTCTCAGTATTCGTTTATTATATTATATTAAAAGTATTATTCGTCAAAAAATGTAATCTTCTGTTGTCTGTTTGATAAACGATCTTATTAATTTTTTTTTTTTTTTCATTTCTTTGGTATTCACGATTTGCAATAGGATTTTTGTTTTTCTTCTACCGTGCTTATTTTATTCTTCGGAAATTGTATCGATCTAAATTCGAGAGTTGTAAATTTGTATAATATTATTAATATAATACGTTTGTTTTTTTTTAAAAAATTTTTTTTTTTTTTTTTTTTTTTTTTTTTTTTTTTGTCGAAGTTTAACGTTGATATATTCTGTGAAGAAAAGTAAGGGGAAGTTATTCGAAATTCATCTCTAAACGTTCGTTTTCCTCCCCATTCTCTTTTCTTATTCTCAGCCACATCTTTATGGACCATTTAAAATTCGTTCTCGTTCGCGAGCAGTAACGGTTGGAAAGATATCGGAGAATGAAATCGGTACTGAGATCACGAGTTCTCATTACGACGACCGAAACTATCTTACGATCTTTCCACCTGACGCCTTTCTTCCTTGCCATTCTATTTCCCATCAAAGTCAGATTCCTTGATTATGATAATTAGATTAGATTAAATAGATCAAATTTATTAAACTTTATAAACTGTATCGTATAAATTATATATGATATATTGGTATAGAAAATATTGTATTACATAGTACACGAAAAGTTTCGATTCATTTTAATTGAGAATTTTTATTTGTTATTTATTTGATCGAATGGATTTTTTTTTTTATATATATATAAATAATATAACACAGGATTGTTAATGTTAGATATAAAATATTATAACAAATTTTTTTGATAAATAGTATTAATATTATTTGAATATTTGGATAATAAGGATCAATAAGTTTCTTATGTATTCTATTGTATTTATTTCCTACAATTTCTCATTTTATTTTTAAATTAAATTGTAAAAAAATTTATTTTCTTATCTAATATATGAAACGAACGGATATAATATAAGGAATCGATGTGAAATTTCTTCTTTTGTTTGAGTAAAGGATCTTATTATTTGCACAGTGTATTGTACTGATGGTTCCCTATATAATTGTATAGAATTTTAAAAAAATTCTGTCAAATTGGCTTTCCCTTTGTAAGATTATTATTATCGAGAGAGTTTATTAGAAATGCATTTTTGTAATAATTCCAATTAATTCTTCTTCATTATTGATCCTTCGTATAGTATTTCGATTTGAAGAAAAACTCTAATCTTTATTAAAAATTTCATTGATTTATTTTCATCTACTTCGTTGTACTTTGAAAATTATAGAAATTGTAAGAAGAATAGCGGAAAGGTTGCTTATTCAACTAACCAGGTTTACATTTTGGGGTAAATCTACTTACCAATCGACTTACCAATCAATTCCAAGCTTGTCACAGTATCGAACTTTAATTAAGCCCCTTTTCATGTTGAATTTAATGCCATAGACGAGATATAAAAGCACAGGCAAGGAATTTGCGATCTAACTGGGACACCGCAGACATAAGATAGTCAAGCCAATTGCTGAAATACTTGTAACTGACCTCTGATTAAGCACCTAGTTTTGATTTGTTTCAGTATCATTAAAAATCCTCTTTAAATTTATATCCGATAATTTATCGTACTTTTAATTACGATATATTATATTTTAATTATATTAATTACAAAGTTATGTAATCAATTTTATATGTAATTTAATTAACGTAACGAAATATTAAAATAACTTTCAATAAGACGTAAAGAACTCTCAATTAATTGGAAAAATTAACCAGTTGAGTGTGTCTGACGACTATATCCGTCATGAAAGAATGGCAGAATTTTGTTTTATGACGGCTATGTCCGTCATGCGTAAAATTTTGTTACAATTTGATATTTAAATTGTAATTCTGGCGATAACTAAATTATATTCGTAAATTTTAATATGTTTAGAATGTTCAGGGGTCTGGACGAAATGAAATAAACAAATGAAAATTATAGATAATTTAAGTTGGATTTCTAACTTCCTAAGAGCTAAATATTTCTCCACCTTTCTAGATGTTATATGTTTAAATTCATATATAATTTATAAAAAAAAATGGTGGAAAATTAAACATAGTAAACTTTTTATTAGAATATATTGAGGATACAGTTGCATCGTATCCCATCGAATCACAAAAATCATCAGAACTTCGCCCAATGACATCCAATGTTTCACGTTTGATCGACAAACATTTCCCGGATTACATATCAGACACTTCAACAACAAAAAATCCATCCCGAAGATGTTCTATTTCTTATAAAAACAAAATTAGAAAAGACTCTCGGTATTGGTGTCCGACACAAAAAAGTGCCACTGTGCATCGTTCCCTGTTTCAGAACATATCACACGAAAGCAACATTATAAATTTTTAATTTCTACAAATATTTGATTTTTTTTAAGTTTTTCGTTAATTATGTGTAAATATAGCTTAACGTTGATCCATTGTGTAAATATTACTAATAAATTCATTCATTTTCTAAAATAAAGTCGTCTTTTTGACCGAATATTTCAACAGCGCTACTTACTCTGTGTTTGACAACTATTTCCCTCATCGCTTGATTATCGCCACACACACTGGGGCGCACTTTGCAAAATGATCGACACAGTTAACTGGTTAAATATACAAAATAATTCTTTTCCTTTTTACTTGTAATATCCATGATTATTATTTCTTTTTCTTTTTTTCTTTTTTCAAAAACATTTATTTCTATCGTTATACTGTCGTCAATCTTATTTCAAAACGATATATGAAACATTGACATAATATATATTATATATATATATATACATACATATAAAAGAGAGAAAAGAAATAAGAGAATCGATGAGCGTTAAGTGTCGTCACATTTTTCTTTCGACGATCACCGTGATACGAGGTAACAGTGTCTTTTACGAAAGTCATCTCCGGAAATCGGCTTCCACCACTCCTCTTTACTTTTACCCTTTATCCGTATATATGAGGAGCCCAGCCATGGCAATTGGGAAAACCGTATTTGAAAAGAAGGGAAACTCATTGATCGAGATACGACGGAATGATATAAATCGAAACTCTATGATAGAAAAGAAAACATCAGATAAAGATCGAAATAGTGACAGATCAAATTAGAGTGAGAAAGAAAGAAAGTGAAAGAGAGAGAGAGAGAGAGAGAAAAGGAGAGAGTGTGTGTGTGTGTGTGTGTGTGTGTGTGGGTAA